GAGTCTTATCACTAGCCCTATCTCTTTCATGGTTCCCTTCAGTGCATTACTGTCAAAGAATAATCTGCAGAAAATAATGAAGATCAGAATGTAAAGTTTCAGAGATTTATGGGGAGAGTTAGTTATTGTTTGGGAACTCTAGAATTCTATTCCAGCTAGAGTAGATCATTTAAAACTTAATGAAGACTGTAGGGTTCAGTTCATAGATTGGAAACTTAATTCAAAAGATTAGTGAGAAAGGATAGATAACCTACTTTATAGCTGCTTTAGTAATAATTTGTATCATGATCTATTGCCTGTCTTAAAGCTCAATGCCTATGTATTTTGAGATATTAATTTGGAGACCAGTTGTGACAGGAAAAGTCAGAGAGGAGTATCCTAAAACAAATGTTTTTCTTGGTACTTAAGGTATTGCTAGGATTTAGCTGCCAGGTAGACTGATCTGAATTTCTTATTTTTTGCAAGAAATATGCAGTTTTTTCTGTGAACTCACTATGCAAATACTTTTACAATGCGCTGTTCCTTCTTTTTGATGTTTAAAGAATCTTTTCCCATCTAATGTGCCTTGCTTGTGTTTCCTTAATCCTTTAAGCTAATCTAGTGTTGAAAACTTTCTCCTGCTTATCAAATAGATTTTCTTATCAGGAACAGCAACTTAATTTTCTCAGCCCCTTTGCTAAGATGGGAGGGAAGGTGAAGCGGTTTTGCTATGTGTGGTTTCTGAAACTGCAGCTTTTACAGTCAACATTCAGATTGGTCATTAAGAACAGCTGCCCTCTCTTTTGGTGCTACTTGACCTCTCATAGCCCTCGTTTTGAATAGCCCTCCTGACTCTGTGACATATTTGTATTTTACAGATGTAGAAAGAAGGGTCCAAAGAGCAAGTGGACCCCTGCTCTTGTAAATCCCTGTCTCCTAGCTGTAACATCAGACTTTGCTCTTTCACAGAACTAAAGAGAGACCAGAAGGAGTGTTTTATGTGTGCATTTATCAGCTTTCTGACTGGTAGCAGCAAGACTTAAAGCTTGTTCCCACTTCCACTGAAGCAGGTTGCAACAGAACTGGGTCTCAGGCTGGTGCCTTCCTGGCCATTGTGTTATGACTGTCCATTTCTTTGGGTGTGTTGAGCCTGAAAGCTTGGTTCCTAACCATGTTTAGAGTCCAGCAGGTAGGGAAAAGGAAATAAATAATTCTGGCTCTGAGGAACATAACATTGGCTTATGAAGACAGATCTACATAGGTTTCTGGCGAGATGTGGAAGAATAATCTGTATTCAGCCTGAATTCTGGCCAGTTCACGTTGATGTGAGATGGAAAAAGAATGGTCACAATAACTTTGCATCTCAAATAAAATGTGTGCAGGCCTATTGTTAATATGAATAAACGCCTTCAAGCCATTTTGGTGGTGTGTGTTTTTTTTTTTTTTTTTTTAGTAGTAGCTTGTACATCTTTCTTTCCGTAAAGGAGTGCACAACAAGCAGGTGCTTTTTAGCGTAGCTGCAATGCTGCCTAGGATTACCCTGAGGGTTCCTGATGGTTTTTTAAAAGCCTAGGCAGAATGCCATGAATACATAAACATTACAGATTATAAGAAGAGTGTGAAGGAGAAAATATGAAGTTAAAACAAACTTAAATTCTGATTTTTTTTTTTTTCCAAGTGACATTTGGCAAATACCCACTCAGCCGTACTCTTGCAGCATCTTTTGTGCTGTAAATATGTTACCTCCTGGCAATATGCTTTATGAAAAAGGACTGCTTTCAAAGACCACTTAATTATAATTACGTTAATGGAAGCATTTTTATTTTGACTGATGACAGCTGACTAATCAGGATGCAGGTCATTCTTTTTATTGTGGTTAGGAGAGGTTGAGGGCTGCACACAGTGATCCATAAAATCTCATCCCGGTTAACTGCTCCTGCTCATAGCAACATACTTCATCAGGTTGATAACATGTGCATGGTTTCTGTATTCCCTACAATTTTGAAGTTACGGTAGAAAAGCAAAATGCAAGAACATCATCAAGCACATACTGCTGAGTGTCCTGGTTTTGGTTTTAAACCACAACATTTGGCAAGCTAGCTGTCACAGATGAAAAACGCATAGCAGAAATTCTTGTGATATGCGCTGAATGTGTAACACTTTTTTTCTCCTCAAACAGAATCTACTTAAATAGTTAGACTAAATTTATGACACTTCGTTTCTTTTTGATTTACCTTGTGTATCTATGTCAGAATTGCAGTGAACCTTTGGGTGGTGAATATCCTTGCCCAGAGTTTGTGTTTTTGTTAGGATATGGTCTGAGAGATGGCAGTTGTTGTGACAGATTCTATGGAAATACCAGTTTGTTTTCATGATTCAAAAGTATCAGTGAGCTATAACCAAAGTATCACTAGTGAATAACAGTTGAAATGACATGATTTAGCTAGTTAGTTGTCGTGTTTCTTGAAGTCTCTTTGGTATTGCCACTCTTTTAAAGAAGGTGTCATGGTTTAATATTATTGTCTTGGTAGGTGTACGAATTAGAGGAAAGAGAAGTAGCAGCCACAAAGCTTATTGGAAAATTCTTCATAGTTTGAGTGATTTGTCTGTTTGTTATGTTGTTTACCACGAACACCATGACCCTGCTTCAGAATTGCACCATTTTCTTTCTTTATGTTACATACAGGATGTTTAGTAAACTTGTTTATGTTTTCCTCAAGTCATTTTAAAGCTTTGAGGTTTTTTTTTTCAGTTTCTTTCTGCATGACAATTTCCCTGACAAAGAAGAGAGGGAAACTACTGTGCGTACCATCTTTGGAGATTATTTCATGTTGAAGGAGGCAGGTGTGTGTGAAAATGATTTCTAGTCTTGAAGTTCTTGTGTGTCTCTCTTAAAAGCTCAGTGCAGGCTTCAACTGTTTAAAATAACCCTACCACTGGTGGAGAGAGGGGTACTGCTGCCCATGAGATGAAAGCCTTTCTAATGGCTGTAGGTACTGGTTTTGTATTCTCACTGTAGTCCACTAGATCTGCAAATCATCTACTAGTCATTTTCCAGTTTGTCATATTTGTTACCAGCAGGACAAGGGATGGTTTTGAAGAAAAGGGAACAATTTCCCATTTTTGCAGTTGAGAATAGTTGTATCCCTCTCCTGGGTGTTAACTCATAGCTACTGAAATGTCCCATTTCTTTTTTTAGGTAATTTTGACACAAAAGCAAGTACAAAGTGTGCCTTCCACTGCTTTCTCTCTTCCTCTGCTCCACATTCCCCACTGTTACTCTTTGTCAGTCCACCATCCTCTGCTTGTTCCAGTGCTTGAGAACTTTCCTGTAGAAATGAGATAACCTAGTTCAGTTAAAAATCATCTTCAGGATCTGCAAGGTAAACTCATGCTGTAGGTGGCTAAGCAGTAATCTTTTCCTTATCTCTCTGCATGTACAGTAATTTGTCTGAAACCTGGAATTTAAGTTTATGTACACAAGTTCAAAATTGTTCTTAATATAGAAAGTTGAGAGTTCTGTTTCTGATGCTTTGAAGAATCCTTTCTGAAGAAGAGATAAATTACAGTTGCATAGTATGTCTGCAAGCTTCCTTTTGAGTGGACACTTGAACACTTGCAGGGTGGGAGCAGAATTCGGACAGCTTGTCCGAGAGAATGATTTTAGTTGTCTTTGTTTTGCCAACCCAAATACGACAGTACTTTGAGTTGCTATTGCTTCTGGCGGAGGTGGATTCATGGGCAGGCTGTAAATGAGACTGACATAATAGAAACAGTTTGTCGTGCCTACGCGATATGTGTTTCAAGAGACTGACATGCCAGTGGATAAATAACGCCAGCAAATCTAAAAATCTGAAATGCTTCTGATCAGCAGCTGGAAGTGGAAAGAGATGACCTCTCCTCCCCCCACCATCTAACACTTAAGCAATGGGAACAGAAGGTCTAAAGGCCAGAGAATACGTCTTGCTGTGCCTTGGTTGTGGCTTGTGGTTTGTTTTAATGTTACGATTTTCAGAAAATGTAGTTGGCTTCCTAAATGTGTAGGCAAGGCCTCGCAGTGCTGTGCAGGAATTTGGTTTCCTAAAGTGTTCACAAAGCCTCTTCAGGGCTCACAGTTATTTAGTGCAAACGTATAAAACATGATTTCTCATTATTATTTTTTTTTTTTGTTAGCTCTGTAGAGGCTTTGACAGGAGGCATTTTTGAAGACCTTTTGTGTGTTTTCCAAACGGCATTAAAAATGTTGTGGGGCACATGCTGCAATTTGTCTGCTTAAAATTACCTGACAGAAGTATTGATAATACCGTAGCTGAAGCAGTTCCTTGGGCCTCTGGTGGTGGGAGAGAGAAGAGCGCCTGAAGTACTCTGGGGATTTCTAGCGTGCATCCCCATGTGCAAGAATTCCCATCACGTACAAGGGTGTCAGAGGTGTGTGTTCGGGGGGGTAGAAAAGGAACGGAACAACTCTTTAGCAAGTGCTTTCTTGTGCCTGATGGAGTTTAGCAAGCTAGATGTAATTTTAATTCAGTCAGGAGGTCTGATGCTGCCTCTGTACTGCACCAGTATCTCTCTTAAAGCATTACATGAAATTTCATGAATTGAGACAGACTTTAAAAGAGGATGCAGACATGCTTCTTAGATACTGAGCCTAGGGGAGTTTGTTGCAGCTGTTGGCATTCATTTCAAGTGGTGTTTTCTTTAGTTATTTTGTGGTGTGAATGTTTCCTTTAAACTTTATTTAGAGAAATCAGTATGCATTCTCTGCAGTAATTTAAAAATGTTCTGTAGAAAAACATTTAGGACTGCTTGCAGTTTTTTTTCATCTTGTGCTGAAGTCACTTTAAATCCATCACCCCAGCCTGTAGAGTCGTCAGGCAGAAATCTTTCTATGAAGGTAGATGAGTTGTTCCTGCATCAGTTTTGCTTGAGCATACCGAAGACAGCCATGTAATCATATGCAGTAATGAAACCTGTTGGAATTTTAGAGGAGCATCTAGTCTCTTTGATTTTGCTAAGGAGCAATGATTCAAGTGCTGCAGATTGTAAAGGATCTGGTGTCGCCAGCAAGACGGAGAACAGATGCTGCTAAGAAAGGTAAGAGCAGCACTGGGATATATTCAGTGTTCTGAGTAATTTACTATAAATCAGAAATATTTTGGAGTTTGGTTGTAGTTAAATTAAGTGTGTACTTGATACTTAAAAATGTTCTTTGTTGTGGCATGTACAGCTGCTGTAATTTGGCTTTGAACTGTATTAAGCCTAATTATTATCAGTTTGCAACTGCAGCTTCCCAAAGAGAATCCCGATGACGTTTATTATGCTGAAGATGGAGTTTATGTCAGCATTTGTAACTGCTGCTGCTGTTCTAAAGATCTTTTCCATATTTTTCAGTGGTAAAAATGTTTTTCTAGTCCGTATAGGCTGTGAAAATAGAAACTGTATTCTGTGGAATCCCATCAGAACAGTTTTTAGAGTCTTAATATTCTAAATGAGCATACCAGCAAAAATAGGCTTCTTTGGTGCTTATGGAAATGAGAGGGACTGAAAGTACCCAGCTGCACTGCTGTTTAGGTTTTACAATGAGATTATTTCTAGATTACAACTACAAAATATGAAATGGCTCTTGCAAGTATACAAAACGTTACTTGAAAATACTCAATTACTGTTTGAAATTAATTGATGTTAAATACTTTTCTTGTTCTCCTCAGTGTGTTGAATGTTTGTTTTTTCTTTACTGAAGTAGTACCATCCTTTGTGGAATCTGACATACTTATCTAATTAGGAACTGATGAAACACTTTTTTTTAATCTTTACTTTTACATCTTAATTATTTGCAATTGCTAAATATGTGGTTTGTAGGGGAACTAAATAATTTGTAGAGATGTCTTAAAAATTCTTACTAGAATTAATTTTCTAGGACCACTTTATTTTGTATCGAATAGGTTATGAATAATTTAGGATCTACAGCATCTGTGCCTGCCTGTTACTGCGACACTGTTCTCTTCTGCCTTTACACATAATGTGTGGCTATAGGCAAGTACCTTTAGTTTAAGTCACTCATCTAATAACATCAGCCTGATAAAATTCTTATGAGTTAGTTAATGAAACACCTCTGTAAGAAAACAAAATGTGTCAAGGTAGAACTGGGCTCTGCTGTTAACCTCTTATTCTGAAACAAAGGCATGCATTTCATAAAACCAGGCTTCTGAATTACTAACTGGATTTTGCAGTGATGGTTGAACATCTCACCCAACGTTGTATAATTTAGTCAGAGTGAATTACTCGATTTTAGTTCTCTGTTCACTGTTCATTTTTTTTATTTGTATATTTACGCTCCACTAGATACAGAGCAGAATGAAGGGGACAGGAGTTTTACTTGTCTGTACTGCATGTAGCTAGCCAGTCAGCCTTGATTTGTATAGAAGTAGTGTAAGAGCTGGTTTAAAAACATAACACCAATAAGTATATTAAAAAAATGTTTATTGGAACACACTCAATAGAATCGGAAGGAAAAGCCTTGAAAAACATAAAGAAATGCTCATTTTCTCAGTTCTAAAGCTTTGAGTTTTTATTCTCAGTTTGCACTCTGTTAAAAGACAGTAATTTTGGGTCATTGTTTGGGCGGTGTTCTCAAGCTGCTAGTAACTGAGCTAATTAGGTGTTCGATCTTACAGAACTTGGTAGTACATTTTGACAACCAGTATTAAGATCTTAACATTAAAAAAATTTCAAACATTCTGAAGAAAACATTCACGAAAGATGCAAAATGCTGACAGACTTCTGTGGTAAGTACAGCAATCTGAGTAGGCATAAGGTTGGTGGGGTTTTTTTTGTTTATTTTTTTTCTTCACAGCCTGCAAAGTTAGGCATCTGGTGTATGTGAAGGACTGTATTCTACAGAAATGACTCATTCTCATTATTGTTGTCAGTAAATGGAAAAATGTATTTGTAAAGGAAGAGTTGCTAGGAAGCCCAGTGTGAATGTGAGGTGAATTCATTGAGACATGAGGGATAATATGTGAAGTGTTTACCAATGTGCTTTCAAATTGATGTTGGTAAATGGTGAAGGTTTTTAATCCTGCTCCTCAGGTGCATCCTCTTCTTCCTCTTAAAAAAGTGTGTTTATAATTAAAATATAATTTGTTGGGTAGAAGTCTGAAATTCATTGGTTTTGACTTATGTGAAAATTTTCTCTAAAATGTCTGGCTCTTGCTGAATGTCTGGCTCTAGGAACTCAAGAAACTGAAACTGAAAATAACTGAGCAGATACTTGGAGAAGGGTTACTGTATGTGGGGAGTGGAAGAAGAGCGTAGCCTTCAGTAGGGCCCTAACTTGCACTCAGGAGAAAAAGGTTACAAAGTAGTATAATGTATTAATTGCATATTTCATGTGTTGTACCTAGTTTAAAACTTATGTAAGATTGAATGAATGTCCTAAACATATAACTATTTTTATGAATAGCATACAAAGTTGTAGGGGAAAGGATTCCTCTGGCCTCCAAATTTCCCAACATTTTTTTTTCAGGCTGAGACCTAGAAACACAGTTACTAGCTAAGAGTGTGTCTTTTTGTATCTGTGGTTCAACGCAGAAGCTAGTTATAAAATCTATGGAAGCATAGCTATTGTGGAAGAAAATTCAATCCCTGCAGAAGAAATTCCTGCAGAATGTTGTTTAAAAGAAATCCATTATTAACATTTCATGGGTTGAGATGTGGATTTAAAGGGATGACAGTTGAACAGCCTGCCAAAGTTACTGAGTCTAATTGTTTTTTTACAGGCTAGAGTTTGTTTTCATTGTGGCTGTGACCCATGCCACTTGTTCAATTAAATTTCAATTTCTGTATGGTGACAGTGTGTGATAAATGGGTGGTTTACAAGTACAAGACTAAATACTGCAGATAGTTAGGCAGTGTGAGTATGAGTATCCACCTTGTTTCCCAGTTGCAAGTCCTGTGGTTATGGCCTTGAGTCTTTGACTGTTGAGGCTGACATCAGAAAGTCCTTCAGTAGGCCTCTTGGGTTCTTGCTTAGTGATACCTAATGATGCAATGAGCTAAACAGTAAGTTTTGGTTTATAATGTCTCTTGTTTGATCCTTTTTTTTAGATTTTGTGCTGCTTTTTTTTTTTTTTTTTAAAGAAGAAAACCCACCCTGCAGTTGTGTTCCATAGTCTTCCAATTGCAATGAAAGCTGAATGTGTAGAGTTTTCTGTTCGCTTTTTATGGTTTTTGGTTTTGTGAAAATCCAGATCCTTACCCTACCTTATGTTGATAACATTAGGACAGTTAAAGGAAAGTCCATGTATTGTCGAAGGGGTAACACTTCACATTCACCTTCAAATTTGCATGTAAAGTTGTAAAGAAAGTAAATTTTGAAAAGTTTGCCATTATTTCATAAGACTTGAATTTCCTGAACAATTTATGAAATTTTATGAAGTCTGTGTTTGGATAAAGTCCTAAATCATGCCAGTATAAAATTCTCTTGATAAGTGTTCTAATTCAAAGCCAAAGATTTCAAAAGATCTGAAAACTTTCTGAATTTTAAAAAATCATTCAAATCTTGCTTCTCCTAGAGAAATCCGTATAGAGTATAAATCTACTAATTACTTCTTTTTTCTGTCACTGGAATCCTGGTTGAAATCCAAGTTGTTTAAAATTTTTAAAGAAATAATCATGTTTACTTCTTTCCTCCCTTCTTCCTTTTACAGATGGCCACAGTAGAACTTAGTTGGCAGCATTACCTTAATGTTAGGATATAAAAAAAGATGTTGCATTAAAATACGTCTAGCAGGTGCAACAACTACATCAAAATCACAGAATTAAAAAGGCATGCAGTATTTTAGTGTCAGAGTTAGATCCCTGAGAGACAACTTTTCAGACTTAGACTTGGCAACAAATCTGCTGGCTTTTTTTGGTTTATTTCTTTTGGAATGCACTAAGTTGATTAGTTGCAAGATGGAGAAAAGAAGATAAAGGTCTTGCATCAAGTAGACGTTGTATTTTCTCATTACCTTTGGTGATAGTAGAGGAAAGGTATAATCAAATGAATTCCCTCAAGGGAATGCTACTGACACAGCGAAAGCTCTCTTCAGTCTTTTGATTTTTCTGTTTGTTTTAACATTGTGACACAGGAGGCTGAGAACTTTGCCTCTTATGTACAGTTTCAGGGTTACGGGAATTTTTTTTTAACTTTCTGCTTTCCGTCAGAAAGAATTACATACTTTTTCCTTTCTATTTCTGAGGATTTTTTTTTTATTTAGTATTTCATTCTTGAGTGTTGTTTTATATCTGTGAGAAGCCATTTTTTACTCTCTTTTTTTTTTAATTTTACTTTTCAGTCTCTGCTTATAGGAATATACTTTACTACTTTAGAACTGCCCCACTTTTAAATACTCTGCACTGAACACTGTGTAGGAAATATCTATTTAAAATAAAAAACTTAAGACTTCTTGATTTTTGCCCTGAACTTGCTTAAGAGCAAAGCTATATGTTGTTGCAGTTTGCTTTCAAATAAGGTTCCACAAGCATGCACGTGAGCCGACTGAATGCATCATGGAGCCTAAAGCTTGAAAAGTTCTTGAGGAATTTCTGAGACAAGTTCCTGACCATCATTGACCAGTGTCTCGTTTGTGCTAAGCTTGGCCCAGTTTTTGAAGTTGTGTGCATCATAGCCCAACATGGATCTTCTGTGATTCTTCCTTCAATCCAGGTGATAGAAGATCCTGATTCCTTTTCGGTCACAGGAGAATCTCATGTTCTTTTTGCTGAGCTCTAGATTAGATGAGTCCCACAAAGGGTTTTTGTGTGCAAGAACTGTCATGGTAACTGGTATTTTTTTTGTGTAATTGGATTGAGCAAGTGATATTATGAAAGCATATGCATGCAAACCAAAAATAAGAAGATTATTTTTCTGAAGAAGACTCTTCCGCCTCCCTCTTACTTCTGAGCCAGAACTAAAATATTGAACAAATCGGTAACACTTTCAAAAATAGTTTAGATTTTTTTTTCAGGAGTATAAAAATAAAAATACACTGTTTTTTTTGCCTGTATCTCTTCAGTGCCAATTTACTATATCAGATTTCTTTCCTGTAGTC